GCCGTCAGAATGAGAGTCCAAACAGCTGATAAAAACATCACAGTAATCCACAAGTAGTTCACACAACTCCAGTCCACCAATTAACATCTTGTGAAGTGAAAAGCTGTGTTTGTAATAAGCAAATCATCACTGAGATGTTTTGAACTTGAATAACTATTGCTTTCTGCACTAAAAAAGTTGTTTTGTCTGAATCACGAGAGACATACACACACTTTACAAGTGGAAACAGTTCTAAACAAATATGCTGGTGGATTTTGATGTGAAAAGACAATGGGATGAGCTTTATAAACTCATTCTGACGGCACCCATTCACTGCAGAGGATCCATTGATGAGCAAGTAATGTAATACTAAATTTCAAGCTCATCTATATCTTGAAAGGCCTGAGGGTGAGTACATTTTCAGCAAATGTTTATTTTTGGGTGAACTATTCCTTTAAAGATTAGATTATAGTCTTAGCTGAAAGCATTCTCACATTAGTCAAAGTATTTAATGAACGCATACATAAGCAATGGGAACTTTGTGAATCATGAGCATTTAAGTTCTGCAGAAATCTGATGAGCTTTTTGAGAAATGTGAGTATTGTGTGGACAGATTGTGTCTAGGCCAGGTAATCACTTCACTTCTGCTATGGGAGTTCAGGGTCTGGCTGCAGACGTACACTCTTGGTTTACACACCTGCTGTTAGTGAGGTCATATGCAGTCTTTCAGAGGAAATGGATCCCTTTATCCATTAAGCATGTTTTATTAGATTGTGCTGGTTTTAACTCTGTGAGAAAACTTTTTTTTTATTCAGTAAACTCTTTTGAAGAGATTTTTAACAGTTAAGCTAAATACAGTTTTGGAATTTTTAGCAAAAATAAATGAATAGTTAATTAGTAATTCAGCCATAATATTTCTCACCATGAAAATAGCCACAGAAGCTCGAATGGAGATAAACACAAACAAACAATAAACAGAGGAATTGGAAAGTTACATGGATATTGTTGACAATTGTGTTGGATTGTTTCAAAAACGTATTGCTTCACAATGTGTAACAAAAAATAAGCAACATTTTGTACCATGTAGTATGTATGATTTTTAGTCATTTGTCTGTTTTTAGTCTGTGATATGCAAGGAGAAACAAAGTAAATGGTTTGTGCAATTAGCTTGGCATTTCTTTGCAAGCATGCTGAACTTAGACACATTATTTGATAGATGTATTGAATGAATGAATGAATGAATGAATGATGCAATTATGTAGCGCTTTATTGTGTATTGTTGTACACCCAAAGCGCTTAACAGTCTCTCCTCAACCACCACCAGTGTGCAGCATCCACTTGGATGATGCGACGGCAGCCACAGGACAACGGCGCCAGTGTGCTCACCACACACCAGCTACAGGTGGAGAGGAGAGAGAGAGATAGAGCCAATCAAGTGGTTGGGGATTATTAGGAGGCCATGATTGACAAAGGCCAGGGGAGGGCAATTTGGCCAGGACACCGGGGTTACACCCCTACTCTTTACGAGAAGTGCCATGGGATTTTTAATGACCACAGAGACAGAGTCAGGACCTCTGTTTAACGTCTCATCCGAAGGACGTTAAACGTATTGTAACTCTGTGTAATGCAAAATACAATTTTAAAAATAAAACGGGATTTAAACATTTTTGATTTCGGAATATCAGCCTGTTTGCATGTCCCAAATCACCACAGTTATGTTTTAATGCACTTAATTTAAAACTTTGAATTGAAATTATTAAAATATAACACATTGATGTCAGATTTTTGGCCATTTTGTTCTCCGTAGTTCTTTGTTATAAAAGCACAGACTGTAAATGTGGTGTGGTGCCATTATATTTAAGAAATATTTTAATTTGATACATATTATTAATATTTAATATATTAAACTATTGGTACACTGTAAGGCTGTAGACATATATTAATGACTAAGGAAACAGATTTAGAATCAGCCATTAGACAATTTGTATTGTTTGACCACTGAATTTTGCCCTCTTATGGTGGTCCCTAAATTTTCTGCCAAAAATGGCACTATTTCCTTAACATAAACATGCTGTACATTATTATTGACATTTGTCATTAACCCTGAGCTCAACAGTGTAGCTAGACTAAAATCAGGATATCTTTGACTTAATTGAGCATTCTAGATGTCTCCTCTCTGAGTGTTGGCATTGAGTGTGAATATATCACTGCAGCGCCTTCATTTGACTGCTCTTATATGTCAGTCATCTCCGGCTGCTGTAATCTTCCACTGGAGATGAACTGCTATCCGCTTCCTTGAATAAAAGCCCAGACTTATTCCTGGAAGGATTCCTCTGCCTGTCGTCTGTAAAGCACGCCTGAGTCAGCTACTAAATTCAGCTTCAGCAAATTTGCCCAACCAGTGGAGTGTTCTCAAGATGAAGAGTCATGTCAAGAACAATTCTTTCTCCTCTGTTGACCATTTGCTCAAAAGAACATGACATTTTCTTTCTATTTGGATTCTTTTTAGGTGTATCTGGTCAAATGAGACGCAGTAAATTAAAGGTAATGAGAATGAGACCTGTGATTCAACTTAACCAAGGACATTTACTGTTATACTTTAATTGCCTTAAGACACACACACACACACACACACACACACACACACACACATATATATATATATATATATATATTTACACATTAACTGTGGAGGACAACACAGTAAAATCGAAATGATTGTGCTTTAATGTAGTATCACACCTCATACAGGCCACATGACAGAACTGCCCATCCATCTATCAATCTATGAGACAAAGTCTTGACACAGTGTGACTTCATTACATAAAATGGCAATAACATGAATATTTACAAACACATGACTTGAGACTTTACAAAATATTATGTGTTTATCATCCAAATTACACATTAACTGTGGAGGACAACACAGTAAAATCGAAATGATTGTGCTTTAATGTTGTATCACACCTCATACAGGCCACATGACAGAACTGCTCATCCATCTATCAATCTATGAGACAAAGTCTTGACACAGTGTGACTTCATTACATAAAATGGCAATAACATGAATATTTACAAACACATGACTTGAGACTTTACAAAATATTATGTGATTATCATCCAAAATAAGCAATCTACATTTACGGGTCTTTTTTCACAAATCTAAGATGTATAAAAGCTATTAAGACAAATACAATTGTCTAAAGCTTGTACTAAAACATGTCATTATTTCAGTTGTGAACTAATAATTATTTACAAAGCTCTAAGAACGTATAGCTGCATTAAGAGAGAAGTTTGTGCCTCAGTGTCTTCTCTGTGTCCTCCAGCTGTAACCCTCGGATTCAAACGCTCTTTGTCAGCAATCAGCCGCCATGCCAACCGATCGGATGAGAGGAAATCCACTGCATACAGATTTCAACATCAGCTGCCAAACATAATGATCCAAGCTAGAATGGTCCTGAGGGACAGAGCGGTTCCAGCGACACTCACTGGCCGGAGGAGGGCACTCTGGAGCCGCCGTCACCTGCTTCAGTAAACAGCTTCATCTATGTTATCATCACTGTCTCCTCCAAACTCGTCCCCATTGTCAAAGTAGGACATGATGTAATCTGTTTCCTGTTACACACATACATAGGATTAATTGGCTAAAACTTGTATTGAATGTTGGTTTAATACAGGTTCACCTCAGTCAATAGCATTTGTGGTATAATATTGATTACTACACAATATTCTAAAAGGGCAAAATCAAGGTTATACTGAGGAAGTAAATGGGAGATTTTTTTTAGAGGTTTTAAAAGCTTATAAGTTTATAACAGCACATAGATGATTTTTTCTTTTAACACTTGTGTATTATTGCAGCTATACTATTAAACTATTGAGTATTTAAATATTCATGAATTCACTTTCATTGTAAGAGTCTCACTGTAACCCAGATTTGACCCCTTTTTTGGTAAATAAAAGGAGGGACCAGTCGAAACAATTATTTTGCCGAACATTTACCACACATACTGTCAATCTATTATTTTAAAATAAAACTCACTAATTGAAATCAAGCTGAAATGAAATATAATGAAATGTGGCCTTAGCAACTAACTGGAATAAATTAAGTTTTAACTGAAGTGCTAAAATTACTTAAACTTTATGTACGTATACATACATACATACATATATAAAAGACAATAGCATATAAAATTACTCAAATGAAATATATATATATATATATATATATATATATATATATAAAAAAAATTCAAAATATTAATAATTGGTAACATTTTACAATAAATGTATTTTGTTAACATTAGGTAAGTATATTAGTATACAAGAGCTATCAATGAAAAAAACTTCTAAAGCCTTTATTAACCTTTGTTGATGTTAATTTCAACAATAACTAATTATTAAAATTAAAACTTGTATCTGTTAATATCATTTAATGGACCTGAGCTAACATGAACTAACAATGAAGTTATATTTTTATTTTAACTAACAATAACAAAGATTAATAAACACTGTAACAATTTCATACTTACTGCTAGTTAATGTTAGTTACTGCATATTAACCAATGTTAACTAATGGAACCTTGGTGTAAAGTGTCACCGATAAATCCTAGTATAAGAGTATATAAAAAATACTAAAATAACACTGCTGCCAGTTGAGGCTTTCTGGTATTAAACCTAGAATATTCCTTTAAGCTAAAATCAACTGGACTTAAATTAAATTAAATTAAAAAAATTAAATGTACATTTATGCATTTGACAGATGCTTTATCCAAGTGACTTTCAATGCATTCAAGGTATACATTTGATTAAAATGATAAATGTATTCAATTATAAACTGCAGGTCCTTTTTTCCATTTCTTTACTTTCCCTGTTGATCTTGATCAAACATACTGGCTTAATATCACAACAGAATGGAATAACTTACATCCTCAAATTCCTCCTCATCATACCCTTCCTCTCCCTCAGCCTCTTCCTCTTCTGGCTTCTTTTTCTCTCCCTCCTCTTCATCAGAACTCCCATCTTCCTCTTTCTGCTCCAGAGTCTGAATAGAAACACACACATTCTGTTCATATGCGCATTATATCTGTGAATGTGTAATAAAGTCGATTAAAACTCTTTATTTTTGAGTGCTTTACACATTAACGGCACCCTAAACAGGTATTTGTGCACCTCCAGTTTGCGTATGATCTCCTCTTTGTCCACTCGTGGCTGTTTGGGTTGTTTGGGAACAGCTGGGCTTTCTGCAACCATATAAGCAAAACCGTGTTTGTGACTGTGGAAATGACATCAGCAACATCCTCCCATAATAACATCAACTCATTGATCAAAGCTCCTCTGACAAAAGACACAGAAGGACTAAAAATAATCTTGTCTCTCCTCTCTTGGTGACAGACGCTCTTCAAGCCTAAACCTTCATCCCTCTCTCATCTCCTCTTTCTCTCCATCCTTTCATTCTGGAGATGTGTGTGCAGCGCGGCTGAGAGCCGTCTCTCTGATTTCCCCAGAGACGCCGATGAGTCAGAGAGCGAAGCGCAGACCTGCCGGTTCGGCTCGTCTTTACACACTCATTCATGAGCACATCAGCCTCACCTGCTCCCTTATCTGGGTTTTAAAAGAGCACATTTACAAACGCATGCTTCCTGCACTGGGCGTCTCTGCTCGATTGCAGCAGAACACAGTGTCCAGTATTAGAGCGTAAGAGCCAGTTAACGGCATCAGACACACTCACTGTCTCTCAGGGGTCTCTTCTCTCTCACGCGCAGCTCCTTCGGAAAACGCCTCCAATCTAAAACACACAAATGGATGTAGAGGATCACACAAGTGTGCAGAGACGCAAGTGAATCAGTGTCGATATTGAAAACTAAAGCTATTAAAAACATTTTTGTTCACTGAAATTAAGCTGAAAAAAATATATAAATATTACATAAAAAACCAAATGAAGTGTATAAAATGTTGACTAACTGAAATAAGATTAAGTAGTAAAATTAATAACAAATGATACATTTAATAACTGAATACATTTACTAATTGACACTGTTAAAATAAAAATACATTAAAAAATACTATTTAGTTTGTTTTTAAATTTTTGTTGTTGTTAAAATGTAATAAATGTGTATTATATGAGCTGTGAAGTTGTTCTCATGATTTTTACAGTTTTAGGGTTTAGGCTTTATGTTGTCATGAAAACAAAGTTATAAAATTGCATATAACTATACACAGAAAAGGTTAGTGATTACAAGCATATTGTTTACATCGTGTGGCTATGTTATTAAAACATTGTATTTTAACAGTTATGGATTCACCTTCATTGTAAGTATCTTACTGTAACCCAGATTTTTTACCTTATTTGGTCAATAAAAGGAGGGACTTATCGAAATAAATTTTTGTGGAAATCAACATTACGTAAAAATGACAAAAGCACATAATTAAAACGAAAACTGTTAAATATAAAAGCTAATTTAACATATAATAAAAACTATAATAAAGCTTATTATTAATAACTATAAAAAAGCTATAATAAGTAGTAGCATATAAATAATACTAAAATAGCACTGAAGTGAATCGCTTGAGATAAATCACTCACCTGGCTTCCATTCCAAACTGTTATCAGAGGTTTCAGTTTTCTGGTATTTGTCAGAGTAACGCTCCACATCTGTCAACAGGAAAAAAATAACTTCAAATTGCTAATCACACATTGCTCTAGAAAGGGGTCTTTACACTTATTGTGAAAATTTACCATGAATTTTGTCAGAAAAAAATTGTATGCTTTACTATAAAATATAGACCAATTTAGATAAAGGGAAAAAATTCTGTAGGTTTTATATCTTTGATCTGTGAAAAAAAAGAGAAACAATTTCAAATATATTTCAAAAATTGTATAAATGATACAGTCTGAAACTTGGAATACAAATATCTGTCTCAAAAACACTGCGTTTTGTATTCCTAATGTCTGTATAGCAAAGAAATGCAGGATGTCTTAAAGGGGTCATATGATGCAATTTCAAATTTTCCTTTCTCTTTGAAGTGTTACAAGCTGTTAGTGCATAGATAAGATCCCTAAAGTTGCAAAGACTAAAGTCTCAAACCCAAAGAGATATTCTTTATAAAAGTTAAGACTTGGCCACGCCCCGCTAAAACGCCTCGTTTAAACACGCCCCCACATGTCTATGTCACTGTGTGGGAAGATTTGCATAACACCACCCAAATGTTCACGCAAAGAAAGAAGGCGTAACTTTTATTCTCGCTGTAGTATTGTTGTTGCTGCCGCCACCATGTCGTGAAGGCGCTGTGTGTTTCATTGTGAAAGCGAAACTACTTTGTTTGGCCTTCCAAAAGAGGACGATATCCGCTTCGTCATGCCTAGAGCTGATCCGTGCTGGTCGCTGAGGAAATACATTAACTTCGCGCTGTGGATCGGCTTTTACCGTGGACGAAGCGGAGTTCAGCCCGGGGTCGTCACATGTGGTTGCCGCAAGCCCGCCGGCCACTCCTTCGTCGAATCTGCCAGCCTCCGCTCACTCAAGCCTGCCGTGTGTGACACTGTGTGTTTCGTTGTGAAAGCGAAACTACTTTGTTTGGTCTTCCAAAAGAGGACAGGGCTACAAATCAGTGGTTAAGTTGTATTTACAACACTGTTCCAGCTCATCGCGCCGATACACGGCATCACAGTATGTAAGGGGCATAACAATTCCGTCACACGCTTGAGGTATTCAGCCAATCACAACGCACTGGATAGCTGGCCAATCACAGCACACCTCGCTTTTCAGACCGATGAGATTTGTAAAAATCAACGCATTTCAGAAAGGAGGGGCATAGAGGAGAAACAATAATGTACATTATGTTAAAAAGAATGTATTTTTTTAACCTTAAACCGCATAAACAAATTGCATTACACCAAATACACAACATAATGTTCTTTTTAGCAAAGTCATATGGCCACTTTAAAGATGTCGGAGCTCATTTTTGACGCCAAACTGGCCTTTCTTGGGTGCAGCTGGACGGATGTAAAAGGGGAGCGTCTTCATGGCTCCTCTGAACTCCTGTTTGAGTGCCAGCATGTACTCGGCCTCCTCACCCGTCTGCAGGGGCACCGGCTTCTGATCCAAAGGCTGAAACATCAAACAGAAGTGAGGAGGGACCGCTGATACACATCTGTCTAGTATCAGGGGTCAAACAAGCACCTGTTGGGACAGTTCACTCCAGAGGCAGACAGTAACTAAGTACATTTACTTGAGTATTGTACTTAAGTACACTTTTTGAGTATCTGTACTTTACTTGAGTATTATTTTTTCTGGAAACTTATGACTTTAACTTCACTACATTTGAAAGACAAATATTGTACGTTTCACTCCTCTACATTTCTATGAAGGTCCTCGAAGTAGAAAGTCGTTTCTATGTAGCAGCTGTGAAAGTCAGTGGGTGATTTTTTCCCCCTCTAAATCATGACTTTCTTTTTTTTCAGACAGTTTATCATTAATCTCTCTTGTAGGGCTACATGAAGTGATTTCCCAAATTTTTTTTAACACAGTTGCAAATATGATATTTATTTACAACAATTCAATAATAAGAAGTCAACATTGTGGTATACATTAGACACAATATTGTCTGATTTTGCTAAATTGTGTACGTGAAAATATTACCTATAAAGCCACAGAAGAACTGTAGTGCGTCTCCTAATAAAACACAATAGGTGTTGGACTTGAAGCAGCACTGCACAGACTGTTCTATGTGTGACATCAAAGTACAGCGAGAGCGATTAGACAGCATTTTTTAAATGTTTGTTTTGATGTCAAATAAGTCTTGAGGTTTTGCTTTTTTGTTAAAGCAGTGTTGCTGTTGTAAAGTTACACAGCTACAGTTGTGTTGCTGGGTTTTAAAGCAGGTTTGATTTTTTTTCTTCCTTATCACTCTGTATTTACAGCAATTTCACTGTCTACTCTGTTCAAATGTGGATGAATGGCTACACATAGATGTTGTCACACACTGTCAGAGCTGTGGGCGAATTCCAAACAGAAGTGAGCATCCTTATGCCCTACTCCCTTCGAAGGGCAGAGCTATCTAGCAACCACGTTTGTCTTAATTGTCAACAGTATTTTTTTTTAAATCATTTTAAACCTGCACTTATTTTTGTAAATAAGTTTTGCGTGTGCTCTTTTTTTAAATGTAATTTATTTTTATTTTTTATTAACGTGTGCTATCTTTCTAAAAGAATATCGTCTTGTGATGACTCGTTGTTCACAGTTCTTCATGCGACAGTTTAACAGGAGAGGACTTCGTTGGCTGTGATTTCTGTAGCTCAAACAGTAGCGCACGATGCCAGCAACGCCAACAACCACGTTTGTCTTAATTGTCAACAGTATTTTTTTTAAATCATTTTAAACCTGCACTTATGTTTGTAAATAAGTTTTGCGTGTGCTCTTTTTTTAAATGTAATTTATTTTTATTTTTTTATTAACGTGTGCTATCTTTCTAAAAGAATATCGTCTTGTTCACAGTTCTTCATGCGACAGTTTAACAGGAGAGGACTTCGTTGGCTGTGATTTCTGTAGCTCAAACAGTAGCGCACGATGCCAGCAACGCCAAAGTCCTGGGTTCGACTCTCAGGTAATGCAAGCATGAATACAGTGTAAGCAGCTTAAGATAAAATCGTCTGCCAATTGCATTGATGTAATGTAATATAATGAGTATCAGTTCGATGAGGTTTTATTCTATCTTTAAACACTCACAGGGAATAGAGGGGTCGGCTGGACGGAGGATGGAGGGAGATTTTCTCCTTTACCGATTCCAACAATCTCCACAGAGAAAGTGAGCTGCCCTCTGCCCCTTCCTGCCATTATCTGAGACACAATCACCACATATCACATTATTAATCATACATCTGATATAGCCTATTTATTTCATATTCCATTTATATCATATCGAATTCCGCTGCAGAAATAGACATTAAGACCAAACTGATGTAAATATTTTACATAGTGTAGATATTGTTTGCTAAATGTTTTTATTTAATTATGTATTTAAGACCGAAATGTAATATTTAAACAGGCCTCGCTCACTCACAGACAAAAAAGCGATGAAATCCCTCTTTATTTATAACTTCATTTCATTGTGCAAAGCATTTATTAGATAATCCGTAAATATTACACGCAGTTGGTTTTCATGGAAATTCAGGTTTTATTGTTGTAGAATTGAGCAGTAAAATCAACCGCCAATGCATGTTTGTTTTCGCCCGCTGCGGAAAATGTTCCTTCCAGAAACGAGCGAGCGTTCACTTATGGTTCCGCTTCTGTCTGATGTTAAATTAAATCAATCCTAATCAGAATGAGTCATGCAGAACGAACAACTCAATTTAAAAAAAAATGTGAACAGCTCTGATGGAGGATCAAATGCAAAACCATTTTTTTCATCTGCATTATGCAAGGGCTGATTTGTTAAAACTAACACATTTTATACAGTACGTTTCTTCGTTTTACCATGACTTAATATATTTTATGCCTTTCAATTATATTGCTATAAATATTACTTTTCATCCTTGTTCCTTCACTCGCTTCCCATCGTCAAAAACAAACAAACGCAACAACATAAATATATGAATTATTACTAATTATTACTACAACTATTTATTACTTCGAAACTAAGGTTATCTTTAATAAAAAGATTGCATTATTTACTAAAAAACTGGATGAAATAATTTTTTTGTTCATCCTACAGATGTTTCTATCATGTCCAACAATTTTGCCTCATGATAAAGTTTTCTCCAGAGTTCATGTACTTTGCTACCAGGGACACAAAAGTGTTGGGGAAAAGCATTCTTGTCATTAAATATGAGGCATGTTATGTGTAAAGAAAAATGAGGTTAAATATTGCATTGTGCATCAAGCTAGAATTTTGTCAAACTGTGAAGAAAAAGTGTGAAAATATTATTTAAATCTGTTTATTTATGATACATAAAATTTTGCTATAAAAATGCCTTAGCATCATCACCCATTTTATTTTAAAATGTTTAAAATTACATTTTAGAATAGTATCAAACACAAATATTTGAAATGTGTCTTCATGACATTTCAGAAAAATGTGTTGCATGTGTATGATTGGACTTTTTTATTAGACAAAAGTAATTAACTAATGGGAGTGAAAAAATTTTTTTTTAAGTTTATTTTCTAAAAGTAGATTCTAAAAGTCCCATATTCATCACAATAGTTCCATTCTAATCTGTGCTGACGAAGCTGCTCGCAGCACTGAAATGCTTTTCTAGAAAACCTGGAAACAGTTCAAATTCAGCTAAATCTGCATTTGTTAAAAAAGAGAAAAAAAGAATGAAAGGAAAACTAACTGTGATATTGCTGACTCACAGCCTCCCCCGTCAAAATCAGAAAATATGTGAGTATGAGAGACAGAAATTAGGCATGAGCTCATTTCAGTAAGGTAAACTCATTTTAACAAAACACCTAAAAACATTAATTGAAATATTGGGACATAACATTCAAACTGTAATTTAAATCTAAGCATGGAGAGCAAGAGCACAATCACTACTATAACCTTTCTCTCTCTCTCTCTCTCTCTCTCTCTCTCTCTCTCTCTCTCTTTCTCTCTCCTGCAGCATGTGCATGTCACTGTGGGAATGCTTCTGTCGGAATCCACTGAATCAGTTGCCATAGAAACTGTGTTCAATAATAGCTATAGTCACTGAATTAGTATTTATGCAGTCTGAAAATTGTTTCACACCCCCTGCTTTCTTGCAGAGAGGGCCTTGATATATATTTAGCCCCAAAAATAAAAAATAAAAAAGGCAAGCAAAAATCCAGATTTATGTTGATGGAGAATATGCACCTCTGCAAATGTGTGTTAAGTGCATTTTAACGTTGACCTAATACACGCCATCTTTACTCTGCAAAGCCGGCACACAGGTTGCATACTGTACATGCATTTACATAGATTGCACAAATATATCATTAAAGTACTTCAAAGATAAAATTATGAATAAAAAAGATTATAAAATAAATGCTCTGTCATGACAACAAGGCTGCACCAATGCTGCATCATTTACATTCATCACTGGGTGCTTAAGTGGGTCAAGGCTGGCATATTTTATATTTTTGCATGGGTTTAATGCACCATTATGTCTTTATGCAAAATTTAGAGCCGAGAGCAGCCTTAACTTGACTATGTAAAGCACTTGCACACATTGCTTAAATGTTATCATGCATCAAATCACAGCATGCAGAATTTGGTCTATTTCTTAGACAAGACTATTATTATTATTATTATTAATAATAATATTGTTGTTGTTGTTGTTGTTATGGTAAACTCATTGAACATCTGCACCAAATTGTATTCTCTACATCTGCTTGTGAGAAACAGCACACCATGGCACACAAATGCAGGGGTGCACCAGAAAACCAGGGATAAACTTAAAATGATCAAAGAATTAAAATAATTGAATAAGTTTCCCCCTAGTGGAAAGCAGAGATGGTCATGTGCATGTGAATAGACAGTCAGTCAGTGGTTTGCTCGGTGAAGCTGGACCTCAGTGCGTCTGTGCGTGATCGTGGGAGCCTCGCATCAGCTCACTGCCCACTCCACGCCCCCGCAGAGTCTCCCAAACTCTCGGTCGCAGGAGGAGAGATGATGTGGGGGATGTAAGACACGGGGATCAGCAGACAGCAGCTGGATTCTCGGGCTAAAATCAGTCTCTCTGATGGAGTGAAGACAGCAGATACACACACGGTGAGCCTCCTGCAAATGTTGCTTTCAAAATGCTCTTCGTGTTTAGGATAACATTTACTGTTATTATAATTATTATAATTTAATTTATATTTTGTGTTATTCTCAGCTGAGCATGGCCATAATTAAGCAGACTTCAGTCCTTCATATTGCTGCGATATCTTGACATTCCATTGCACTGTCGTTCTTATTATTTACATTTCAAATCACTTTTATAGAGCGATTTTCGAGTCGTTCGATGTTGTGAAGCATGCAAACGACTATCATTTTTTGCTGGCATGTGCGCTGATCAGAAATGGTTGCTGGCTGCTCGTTTGGTGTGAGTTGTTGAAGCTAAAAGCAAATGTTTTATTGGAGGAGCGATGTGCATGTGGCTGCAGCTGTTCATAAGGCTTTATGAACGTTCGTTGCGAATTCATGCACCGCAATTCGGATTCTCAGTTACACTGAATGTCTGCTGGCATTTCCTAAAAGGATCTCTGAAGATTTGCTGGATGTCTAAAGGAGACGGTTTACGATTGATATATATGCTGCTGTAATGTTCATTGTCTCTCTTCGCAAAAACTTAAAATATGAGCGTTTCTGTGGCGATTGCTGCTCGTGTGCTGTAACGGAGGCTTGAAGTGTGTGTCTGCTGTTTGGAAGTTCATTTGTGGACACTGAAGCTTTGCGTCAGGCAGAGAGCTGACGTGAATAGACACCAAATTTGATGCTTCAAGACTAAAAATAGTCCTGAGCTGAAGATATTTGCAGCTGGCGGTGTGAATCGAGTCTGTAACGCATCAAAATCTGTAACTGCTCTGTTTTGCGAATGGCGTTCAGCACCGCGGACAGCGACTTATAATCAGCATTTACTCGTTTGATTTGAGTAATATTTCCACTTGTAGAATCAAAACATGAGAATACATTATATTGGTTATATTATCAGGAAGTAATACCATTGTGCTGCAATAATGATGCTATTGGCAAGGTTTTTGAACATAGCAATGGTAATACCATGTTTTTGGACATGTAGCATTGAGTTTTTTTGAAGCACTATTTAAATACCATGCCACATTCTTTTAGTATAAGGTATGAAGGAGATTCTTACTAAAAATACCAAAAGATGCCCCAATCACACTTCACTCCATAAAATAAATTGTGTTTTGCATTTAGAAAATTAAGCCTATTTTTAAAACGATTAAGATTATTGATTTTCTTGACAGTTACATTTTACACCCCAGTGCTCATTATAAAATACTGTCATGTGAAAAAAAAATGTTAAGTGTTTTTTCATCATGCTATTAGATTATTTGTTGCATGATTTGTATATCATTATTTTTAAACATGCTATTTTACAGTAAAGAAAAATGTCAAGGATTTTTAAACTATTTATTCATCATGCTAGTAGATTATTTATTTATTATCCTTGATTTTTTTATAAAAACAATTTAACTTTCTTCTTTGAAAAAAGCTTAGTATAACATTATTTTTACTGTACGACAGTACAAAAATGCTATTTTACAGTAATGAAAAATATCAAGAAAGAGTAATTGGAACAGTAAGAGAGACATAATCAGATGCATTATTTGTCCTAAAAACAATATCACAATGGAAAAAACGAACGTAATCCCCCTATATGCTGGACAGTATAAAAATCATCAGATTTCTGCATTGATCACATGAAGTTGCTTTTTCTGTTTGCATAAAACCATATTTTATTTCTGACATCTGCAGTTCGAGGGCAGAGAAGAATGCATTGGAATGCTGTTGTTTGCAGTTATGTGAAAGGAGACGCACAGATTGCTATCGAATTGGAGGAGAATTCATTCTCATCTCTGTAAATCACTGAACACTCAGTCTAGTCGAGTCAAGTGGTTTTGTTGTCATTCATCTCATTACAGACCAAGTGTAGGAGAAAAACGAACTTGCCACGACATGAGTGGCATTGAAAATGACAGCAAGACCTAAACATGCCACAGTAAACAATACGGATTAAACACACGGCAGTTCAGAAGACGTGTCAGGAACGCTTAGGACATTTAATATGAAGGAGATAATCTCATTGCCCCTCTGCAGGATGGTTCTCTTTGAAGCTGCCAATGTGAGTGATGAATTGCCTCAGCGGTTCTGATGCGACTGGGTCAAAGGGTCATCGGTGCACCGCTGATGGATGCTGTTCTCTCAGCTGCTGTAAAAGTGATTGCACCTGCCTCGATCCGTATGATCTAATGAGGCAAACAGTGGCTCAAAGGCACCGTGGCGCTCTTGGTGGGGTGAGAACGCTTGACTGTGCAGCCCCTTCTGGTCACGGGCCCCCTCACGCAACCTCAGATGCAGCCTTGAGTCTCACACACACACTGCAGTTACGTAAAACAGAAAGCCAGGGGTGGGGGCTCTCAGAGGCGTGAGAATGAAGACATGATATTCATTTCCATCATCTGTCGGGAGAGCATAGAGAATTAGATATGACTTGTCCCGACAAGACAGCTCGGTACGTCGCCTCCCTCCTCTGACGCGGCGCTGAAACACAGACCCTCTCCAAGTGCTCTTCAACATGCTGCAAAATTGGCAAGTTTATTTTGGTCATGTCGAACGACTCTCCACTACACTGATCTGTACACACTCAAAGATCCATAGAGCAAAGGCTTTGTTCAGATGGCACATAAATCCGATTTATCTATGAGATTCAATCTTGGGAGCTGTCTGCTTGTCTGTCATTTTTCAAGTGATTAAAATTGGATGTGCTTGTACAGCGAAGGCAATATCTGATATATTTACACATACACCAAATATTGACTGGTCATCTTGACATCCTTCAATACATAACGGATGCAAGAAAAAAATGAGTCAAGTCACCTTTATTCCTATAGCGCTTTATACATAGATTGTCAAAGCAGCTTCACAGTGATAAACAGGAAAATAAGAGAATCAATTATGGAAGCTCATAGGGCTACATGATAAATTATATCAATCAATAAATCCATAAATCTCAAAAAAATCATTATTCCATTTTTTTTGTGCTGTTCAAGCTACAAAAAAATGAAAGAGATTTGGAGTTGGAAATACTGCTCGTCTGAACAAAGCCACAGAAGTGTTGACATGATTGAAAGTTGATGACAGTTCTTTGTCCACCTGTATGAATTGAAAGAGAGTGGAAAAGGTAAGTATGGCATCTTCATTATGTCGTATGTGACATAACATCCATTTTGGAGTTACACAACTGAAGAATCAGACATCTGTAATGTTTTTTTTTCTAAGCAGGTTTTGTTCCGTTTAACACCAAGACCTCTATTTTGAAGTCCTTTTACGCTTGTGTTTTGTGGGGTCAAAGACAAAACTGATCAAATTTATACCTTAAATGCAACATAAGTCACTTTGCAAAAAAGCATCTGGCAAATGTAATGTTCACAGTCCCTCACTGAATTGTACCAGGTGTTGCTTGTTTAATCAGTCTGTGTATAAATAACCCTTGTGGTTCTAGAGTGTCTATAAAGAATGCAAACTGCACTAGAGTACAATTTATTATTTAGAAAACACAGATGTTGGAGCAGAATTGCAGTAGCTGCATGTACGCATCTTTTATGCATATATCTGTACATATTAGCTCTGCTCCAAAATCTAGAAAGCTGTCTATATAGGAAACTGTGCATGTAAACGGAAATGAAACTCACAAAATAAACTGCACTTTGGTTCTTAATGCCATGACACATTGTGAGTTTGTGACTGAATACTTGATCAAAGTCTATGGAATGTTTTTACACAGACTTATGATTAAGCAAAGAACACCTTTGAATTATGATCACAGACAAGAGCAATATAATTAAACTTCAAAATAAAGGTATTGACATTAACATTTATGTTTGTGCATTTAGCGGACGCTTTTATCCAAAACAACTTTTGAGCATAAGCAATTTGTCTCTGAGCCAACAATATTTGCATACAATGCCGTGCTGTTTCCGTGAAAAACAGCACAGAAATAGATTACATTTTTTGAAATTTTAAAACATTTAAAATGATCTAGAACAAAAGCCCTTGCTGATGTCCTTTAAAGGATAGTTCACTCAGAAATGAAAATGTATCATCATTTATTCACCCTTATGTCGTTTCAAACCAATATGACTTTCTTTCTGTATGCTGGGAAAAAAATGAAGAATGTTCAAGTCCAACCTACACTGGATATCACTGACTTTCATTGTATGGATGAAAAAAACAAGAAGACATTTTTCTAAATATGTTCTACAATAGAAGGTTTTAAATGAGGCGTTTAAACAACACCAGTTTCAACTAAAAACAGAAAACTTTTTGTGTTTTGGCCATTCATACACAACAACAGCGCTGTGGGTGCTTGAAAATGCAAATATTTGAAAACAGATTTCAAAGTGCAAATTTTTGAGCACGATACCATTATTGTCTCAAATGAGCAAATTTGTAAAAATGGTGTATATTACACGTTCCATCTATAGGAATGCATATGTGCGCAGGTGCATAGTGTTTATTTACAAAGTGCCAACTACTGGCCTGGCATGCATAATACAGCCATTTTTGCGGATATGTTTGAATGGGGATCGTTTTGACAATGTTGTCATCTAACCTTTTTAAAAACGTGAAGGAAATGCTTTTCTATTTTTAGTACATCATTGTCATGTAAATGTACCCTAAATGAAGATTTTATTTTCCTCTCTTTGTCTTTTTTTCCCTCTTTAATTCTCACTGGATCATTTAAAACAGGCTGGTCACAATGGCAGGTCAGGATACATGTAAGGACGCCTGTGGGTTTCAGCAGGCTGATCTCCTGAGAGACGATGCCTGCCACATCTCTCCAGTGAGTCTATCATGGAGATGAGTCATCCATGCTGCCCCGTGTGTGTGAGACAGGAGATTAACCTTGCCGTCTCGATTCCCAGAGACCCCTTAAAGACGGAGAATTTTTTTTGCAATTACACTTTCAAAGAACAGTTCATTTCTCCCTGTTCCTCTCCACCTCCCATAATCAGTATGCAAAAATAGCATTCCTCTTGCTT